TGTTCAACCAATTGGGTACGGTTTTCAAAGTTGTTTTCCTGAAGACGTAACTTATAAACTTTAAAATTTTATTGGTTCTCCTACTTCTGAAATCTCCGTGTACAAAGTGTTCGAAAACTAGAAGAGAAAGACTACTTGAAAAAGCACAAGTTCTTGCAAAAAACAGGTGATCATTATATTTTTTCAACCAACTTCAAAAAGAAGGATGTTCTCAACTTAGTTGTAATTTGTTTTACATTTGTTACCTCATAACTCCTTTAGTTTTAAACCGTTTTCAAAAATTCTTTTTTTATCTGAAAGGACATACTTACAGATTGGTCTTATAGAAACTTTATCATAATCGGTCCAGTAGTCTAGTTTTCAGATCAAAATAACTGGTATTGTCACAAACGAAGTAAATTTGTTTGCGGGTCACAATCATTACTAATTGTAAAATTTATTATTTATTGAAATTTATTGAAGTCAAAAAAGCATTGTGCTTAATAAATCGTTTGCTTTTTAATTATTATTTACTAAGAGAGCTTTTGGTTTCAGTATTCAGTTGAATTATACAAGAAAAAATTGCACTATTTTGAAAAATATTAATATTATTAACCTTTCGCCAACCGTATAGGACAATATTGTTCGTGCCAAGTTTGGACCTGATGCACATTTTTGTAAGAAAAAAAGGATGGGGCCTTGAACCTCTTTGTAAATAAAACTTACACACGCGCGTACCTCACCGGCAAGGTTGTGAAAGGCGCTTATATAAAGAATAAATTTCCAAAATATTTCTTCTTAAAACTAATTCATATCCAAGATATCGATTATTTAGTGAAATCTTAGAAATTACGGTTTTTGTAGAGTTGTACAAAATTTTATTTCACCAGATGGTAACGTATTTAAGTCAAAAACTATGAAAACTGCAAAAAGAAATCTAGGACATATTCCCTGAATTTTTTTTGGAATTTCTCCCTACACTTTAAGTAGGTCAAATTATCATCTAGGACGATATCGTCCGTGACGGTTGACAGTGTGCAGAAAAAAACACATTTGACGGAGTTGACGGAGGGTTATACAAGTAATTCAGGGCCTCTAACAAGTCTACAATTTATTAATAACTATATATCAATTCTAGAAGTCTTCTCTTAATTTTTCGAGAACAGGAGACATCGAATTATGAAAGTGGATGCTAATATTTAAAATATAAATATTTTTTGAAGTTATTGATAAAACATTGTTATATTAGCGTAGGGAGGGGGGAGGGGGGGGTTAAATAGTAACGCAGACTACAGCATTGTAGTCAGTTTCTTTATTTTGTTAGCGATGAGGTCTAACAGTCCCATTGCTAGCAACGTTACCAATCAGGTCGACCTCCACGTAGTTTCCCCTGGATACCATCGAGGTTACTTCTCGTGGAATTCTTCACGATGGGCTAACTGACTTGTCTTTTCATCCTCACCTATCATCCCTCACTGGTGCTCCGCCAGTGTATACTGATAGCGCCGGCGGGGTTAAATTATTATGAATCTTCTTCTTAAAAATAAATTTTAAATTTTCCATTTTGTACTATTTTCTGTGGACAGTGAACTGACTACGTGATAGAATTCGCAATTATGAAAGTGGATGCTAATATTTAAAATATTGGACTCTGTTTATACAGAGTAGTGTTTCTTTATGGAAAATTTGACTTACCAGCACAGTGATCTGACACGGACTAGTTGCAATCGGGGGTCATTCGCAAATAAATATCGTCACGGGTAGCTGCGAGATAAGGGGAATTAGCTTTTTCGAGTAAATATAATTATATAATAATAGGTGATGATATCAATTGGTTGTATTATCATTGTTTATATTATCAAGTAGAAAGCGTTTAAATCACACTTATCAATCAGTGGAGTTTATACATAAATATCTATTTTTATAATACAGGGGGCAAAAGAGCATACTGCTCACCTGATGCTAAGTGACTATCGCCGCCCATGATCACTCGCATTGCATCGCACTAAAGGCATTGCAGGTGTTCTGCCGGCCTTTTAAAAAGGAATATGCTCTTTTTTTTAAAGGTTATGATATCGTATCGGTTCGGAAATACTGCTCTTGGAAGTTGATTCCAAAGAATGGTTGCACGTGGAAGAAAGTCCCCTGAAAAACGCACGGTTGAAGACCACCAGTTATCCAGATGGTTGGGATGAAACTTTAGTTTGTGGCGGTTGTACGACGCTGAAAATCAGTAGCGGGTATCGATCCGAACAATTTCTCAGAGCTCTGTGTTGTAATAAACATAAATAGATTTTAATAAAACGATATTACTAAACAGAATATATTTTATTCAATATTTAATAAGTCAATTACTATGTACCACGCGGATATTTGACGCTGATATTAACAGTTTTGCTTGAAGTTTCAATTCAGAATTTACCTGTTCAGTTTTCGTATAAAAATATATAACATCTTGTTGTCCATTGACAAAAGGTACGTTATTTTCTAAAATGAACTTTATTTCAGTAATATTACGGATAGAAATAATTTCATTTTATGCAAGTCTTTTGTATTTATAATATTTTGTATACCAATCGATGTGTTCCTCTTTATAATTTTCTTTCTATAACACCATAATTTGCTTTTAGTTTACTCAACTATTCATTTCTTTATTTTCTTATTCTCCTCCTTTTCTTACATATTTTCTAAGAATTTCTTACAATTTTAGATATTCTTAATAACTTCGTTAGAAAATTAAACTTGAAATTTTTTATCTCTAAATATTTTTTAAGGTCTAGTTTTTGATATTTTTAGTAAGTTTATAATTGTAATTATTATTACTCACCAGCATTTATAAATAGCGCAGGAGGGGCCACCATTCCATTATCATCCATCAAGAAATCTGTTCGTGTTTATAGAATAATATATATAGATATATATTGTATAAATGATAATACAAAGCTTTGTTACATGTTTAAAAATAAAACAAAGTGAGATATGAAATAAAAAACGATGTAAACTTAAAATAAAAAACTAGTGTTAACCGTTCGGCGTCGGGGGAAAGGGATTGTTAGTAGGCAATATACCCAACCAGGTCGACCTCCTCGTGGTTCCCCCTGGAAACTATCATGGTTAATTCCTGATGAATTCATCATGATGGGCTAACTGGCCTGTTTTCATTCTCATCTATCACCCTTCACTGGTGCTCCGCCAGCGTATCCCGTTAGCGCGGGCGGGGTTACCATACCATTTTCACCCATAAAAAAACCGTTCGACTCCCAAACTGTGAATAACACTAGGTTAACACTAAACTGATATGGAATACTGTAAAATTACACCTAGTTCAGTAAAAAATTTAAAATTGTTTAAAACTGGTGTATGTTTTATCTCGATGTTTTATCCATAAGTAGTCCATTTTATTTGTTCTCTTATTTTCAAAATTTGAATGAAAGAACAAAATCGTGGTTTCAAAATCAAATGAAACAACAAAATGTGTTTTAAAGTTACACAAACCCGGCTTAGCACCCGTGCTAAGCCGGGGCGGGTCGCTAGTAAATAAATAAAAAGCCAAAAAACTTAAAAAAGTGAATTTTATTTATTAACTAGCTTTTGCCCGCGACTCACCCACCTCCATCGCCCACCCGCGAATACACGTGAAGTTTGCAAAGTGGATAATAAAACACAAAATCGTGGTTTTGTTGTTAGTTAAAAATAATATTTAAATAAATAAATCAAATTGGACACATTAAATCGCGCCATCTAGTTTCAAACTATAACCCAAAGCAAAACAAACACACATACACGAAATTCAAATGTATGTAATGTACAGGAATTGAAACTGCGACCACTGGCAGATCACCGCGACTTCATACACGTGGAGTTTGCAAGTGGGAAATAAAACGCCACTAAATTTATTTATATTGTTTTCTTTTTTATTTCACAGGTTTACTTTAAATTTATTTTTTCTTTAATCTTAATAATCACAAACATTAGTTTTGTATCCTTATTAATATATGGAAACAGATGCCGAAAAGTTCTGTTACATGGCCGTTATTATGTTAAATGTCTGTTTAAAGCAAATATATATTTGGTTTCATCACACTATGTCAGATCTGGGAATATAAAGTATCTTATGTGTATAATCTATAGAAGAAATGATAAAATAAATACTGTAAATCATATGATTGCTTCTTTTTTTCTTATGTTAATATTATTATCAAAAAGAGGACGTGAGATATACTATGAAAAAAAAAATTAAAAAAATATTTATTTAGTAACAAAATTGATACAATTTTTTCAGGATAAATTCACAATGTTTTTTAAAGCAAGTGTATGTTTCTAAGAGCAAGGAATTACACAGAAGGAATGATGAAATAAAAACTGTAAATCATATGGGTGCCTCCTTTCTTCTTATGCAAATATAAATAGTAAAATGAGGACGAAAGATAAACCATCAGTTGCTATTTTTCTCAATTCATAGCAGGCTAGTGTATAGAAAATGTTTGATATGTCAATTATTTGTCAATGACAAATTTTACATTACTAGATTATATATTCGACACAGTTTATACAAAAAGTATGCAAGCAGTTTGATCTGAATTTGGTAGGGTTATACGGCCGTATAACATATATTTTCTGTACACTAGCCTGCTATGAATTGACAATTTTATCACTCCTTCTATGTAATTCCTTGTTAAATAATAGGATTCACGATTTAAATTTAATGGTTTATGGTATTTTTATGGCATTAGTTAGTTCTTAGGGATGGTAACGCATGAGGGGTATCATGGGCGAAACAGTATACTCTGTTATGTCCATGGTATTGCTCATGTCTATGTCTTGTCAGGCGACGGTTCCCATTTTCCATCAGGTGGGCCGTCAGCTTGTTGCCATTCTAAGTTGTATAAAAAAAAAAAAAAACATAACTAAGTCACTATTAAATGAATTTGAATAAAATTGGGTATGGGTCCTAACTCAGGAAAGACATTGATTCACATGGGTGAAGCTGCGGATTACAACTAGTTAGGAAACAAATTGAATGAAAATCATAAATTATTTATTTTAATTGAAACAAAACAATTATTTTGGATGTCTCATGTTTATTAATAACAGAGAAAACATCATCATCATCATCGTCAGTGATTTATGGGTGCAAACCACTTCTGGAGCGTGTGGCTATAGATTGAATAGAACTTGCTTTATCCTTAAGGAAATTTACCTCCACAAAGTCTTTAATTTCTCCTACAATTATCGCCAATAGGTTTACCTCGTATATATGCTTCTTGTAGGCGAAATAATCAATTAGTGCAGCCTCCATGCCGTATGCAGTGGGCTTTACTTTCAACTGGAATTCGGAGAGCTGACTTGTTCCGTTTGCGTTCAAATAATAAACCTTGTCATCAGAGACAAACGGTACACAATCTTCCATAACGAATGGAGGTTTGATTAATGTGACCGATGTAGGATTCTCTGGTAGACCTACGAATTTCTTGACTCCCTCTGCATTTATCACGTAAGGCTGCTTATCTTCGCCATAGTAATAAATATTATCAGAATAATCCAACACTAATTGTTGTGCGTTCTTTATTTCCTCAACTTTGGTCTTCTTAGTACCTTCATCTGTCACTTTATAAACTTCATGTTTATCCGTAACTATGTATAATACATTACTTGAGTTTTCTTTTTCAATATCAATGATATTGTCTGTGAGAGTTCCGTACTTATCTGCCTTGTTTTCTTTATAATTATAAACATAAAGTCCATCAGAAGCGGCGAGGTAGACTGTTTTAGAATCATCGTTGACTGCTACGGCATCTCTACCGTTTTCTAGAAGTTTCGTTCCTTTTCCGTTTCTAAGGACGTACAGGCCTTTGTAATCCTTGTTGCCTTTGTCATCTAATTCTGCTTCTACAAAGAATATGACACCTGTGCCATCATCACTTTCCGGTGAAGAGTCATCAGAATCTTTTGCGAAGTTTAGAGCATTGAGTGGTACGACTAATTGGACAATGTCATATGCGCCTGTGTATTTGATTAAGCTGTCAGGGAAGAAGTCTTCTGTGATGATAGTTAATTCATCTTCATTGCTGCTCGGGGCCCCGATGGCGGTGGTCGCCGATGACAAAAGTAGCGTCACAGTGATAGTTGTTAAAATAATCATTTTCGTAACTGAAATAAAGAGAAATTAAGTTGAAATTAAACATTGTTGATTTGAATTGAATTTTATTGAATGGACTTATAAATGGAACAAAAAATTGTTGCATTGTAGGTCTCTTTTATTTCTCCAGTAAGTACAGTTTTACGTTACTCGCTGCATTCATTGACTTCCTACAATGATCAAAAATAGGTTTGGAACGACGACAATTAAACAAATACTTTTATGAAGTTCTTCTGTATGTACAAATATAAAAATTATAAAGACACACAAAGTTTTATTGGTTTCAATTCAAATTTAGTTACAATTATTTGAGAATGAGGAGTGTTCAATGCGAACTAATTAAACATGTGGCAACTACTGGCAAATTGTCTCTTATGAGGTAGGCTATATTTAGCAGTGGACAGTTAACGGCTGACACTAATTAGTATAAAATTGGTAAAACAACACAGTACAGTACAGTTTATTAATAAATGTATGCATTTCGTTATGTGTTATTAACTAAAAATGTATGTTTATCTGCACGTTTATCTCTGCAGCTCGACCCGTGCGACCTGTAATAATGTTTTGAATTTATCCAATACCTACAATATTATCATATTTACGGACAACAATTTTGTCATCAATTTCGTTAAATATAGCATTAAATGTATATATTTAATTAATTAGTTAAATAACAAACATTTTGCTAAGATAATACAATTAGTTTTTGCCCGTGGCTTCGCTCGCGTTAATTTTGTTTTCGTCAATCGATTCTAGTTGCTGGTCGGTATTGGTAGAGGTGAGGTAAAATTGTTACAGATAGAAAAAAAATTAACTACAGAGCTATAGGCAATGTTTCGTCGCGAACTAAAATCTCATTTCATCTTAAATTTAAACTTCTATTAATTATGTTTTGACGTCATGTCTTATAATCATGGGCACAGAATAGAGTAATATTTCAGGATGCTGCTACACTCGTATATCACAGTATGCATGCTCTGGGGGGAAAGGGTTTGTTAGTAATGGAGACTGAGAATCCCATTGCTAGCAATATACCCAACCAGGTCGACCTCCTCGCGGTTCTCCCTGGGAACTATCATGGTTAATTCCTATTGAATTCATCATGATGGGCTAACTGGCCTGTTTTCATTATCATCTATCACCCTTACTACCATACCATTTTCACCCATCAAAAAAGAGTATGCATGCCCTTCTATTTGGCGCTAATACATACAGATCTTGAGCATTGGATACATGCGAACATGATACATGGCCTTACCAAATGTCTTTCAAATATTATAAGTAGTAGAAAAGCTTTTTTTATTACAACACAAGAGGTAAACGAGCATACGGCTCACTTGATGGTAAGTGACTACCGCCGCCCATGATCACGCACAACACCAGAGGCATTGCAGGTTTGCTGCCGGTCTTTTAACAAGGAATATGCTCTTGTCTTGAAGGTTATGATGTCGTATTGGTTCGGAAATACTGCTGCTGGAAGTTGATTCCAAAGCGAGGATGTGTGTAAAAGAACACTGTCTTTGAAAAACGCACGGTGGAGGACCGCCACTTATTCAGATGGTTGGGATGGAACTTTAGTTTGTGACGGGTTGTATGGTGGTGAAAATCAGCAGCAGGTATCAATTTGAACAATTCCTCAGAACACTTCTCATGATAAATTGTATAAAAGATGCATAGAGATGTAACGATTCTATACAATTTCAGTGGTTCGAGTCGGATAGTAAGCTATGTTTCATTAGCAATCCCTCCAAATGCAATTGCGTTCGAAGGAGTGACTCGACAGCTCTCATAAAACATAATCTTTAACCCTTCTTTGCATTATAGTGGAAATTTCCATCCATAACATTGAATGGCCAAAAATTATATAAAATAACAAGTTCACTTTAAGTTGATCGTGTCTGGATACCTTTTTAATGCCCATTGCAGAAAAAAAAGCTGTCAAATTTATTTTTTTAACAATTTTTCCTTTAATTTTGAACATGAATTATATATATCACCTTGATTTATTTAACAAATAAGAAAAATCATGCAAAGAAGGGTTAATTGGGCATGATTGGAGCCCTTGTATGTATAAGTTAAAACTACATTTGAGAGGCATTTATGAAAAAAAAAATAAACTAAAAAGATAAAATATAGGGCAAAATAAAGAAGAAAGTAGAATTAGAAGCAAGATACTTGAAAATAATGAAAGACAAACTATGCATGCTATTTGGCATGGGCGTGTTCTATTGAGGGTTGCTTTCTTAAACTCTCATATTTATAGAGAATATATATATCTTATCACCACATCTGTTTTTAACTATCCACTGGTGAACATAAGAACTGTGAGAAGAAGAGGAGGACCCATAGAGGGTATTGCCAGCAGTTGCCATGCTCGGTTGGTGGATTGACAACCGCAGTTAGGCTTTGAATGTGTTCCAAGAGGCACGTTGCTGCCTATCTCTCGCCCTCACTTAGTCGCCTATATATATATAATATTTCTGGTCTGGCATTATGTAAAAACTGTTCAACCAATTGGGTACGGTTTTCAAAGTTGTTTTCCTGAAGACGTAACTTATAAACTTTAAAATTTTATTGGTTCTCCTACTTCTGAAATCTCCGTGTACAAAGTGTTCGAAAACTAGAAGAGAAAGACTACTTGAAAAAGCACAAGTTCTTGCAAAAAACAGGTGATCATTATATTTTTTCAACCAACTTCAAAAGAAGGATGTTCTCAACTTAGTTGTAATTTGTTTTACATTTGTTACCTCATAACTCCTTTAGTTTTAAACCGTTTTCAAAAATTCTTTTTTTATCTGAAAGGACATACTTACAGATTGGTCTTATAGAAACTTTATCATAATCGGTCCAGTAGTCTAGTTTTCAGATCAAAATAACTGGTATTGTCACAAACGAAGTAAATTTGTTTGCGGGTCACAATCATTACTAATTGTAAAATTTATTATTTATTGAAATTTATTGAAGTCAAAAAAGCATTGTGCTTAATAAATCGTTTGCTTTTTAATTATTATTTACTAAGAGAGCTTTTGGTTTCAGTCTTCAGTTGAATTATACAAGAAAAAATTGCACTATTTTGAAAAATATTAATATTATTAACCTTTCGCCAACCGTATAGGACAATATTGTTCGTGCCAAGTTTGGACCTGATGCACATTTTTGTAAGAAAAAAAGGATGGGGCCTTGAACCTCTTTGTAAATAAAACTTACACACGCGCGTACCTCACCGGCAAGGTTGTGAAAGGCGCTTATATAAAGAATAAATTTCCAAAATATTTCTTCTTAAAACTAATTCATATCCAAGATATCGATTATTTAGTGAAATCTTAGAAATTACGGTTTTTGTAGAGTTGTACAAAATTTTATTTCACCAGATGGTAACGTATTTAAGTCAAAAACTATGAAAACTGCAAAAAGAAATCTAGGACATATTCCCTGAATTTTTTTTGGAATTTCTCCCTACACTTTAAGTAGGTCAAATTATCATCTAGGACGATATCGTCCGTGACGGTTGACAGTGTGCAGAAAAAAACACATTTGACGGAGTTGACGGAGGGTTATACAAGTAATTCAGGGCCTCTAACAAGTCTACAATTTATTAATAACTATATATCAATTCTAGAAGTCTTCTCTTAATTTTTCGAGAACAGTTTGTTTTGATTGCTTGGCATATATTTATGTCGATCGCTCTTCGACATCAATAATCCTTACTTAGTAATGTAAATGTGAGACAGAGTTTAGTTTATTATGTCTTGACACGTTAACGAACAAAATATCCCGGTCATGTGGACGAAGTTGGAAGTAAAAGCTAGTTAAAATATAGCACAGTATTTTTTGAAGTTATTGATAAAACATTGTAACAAATATATTAGCGTAGGGAGGGGGGGGGGGGGGGGTTAAATGGTAACGCAGACTACCAGTCGCATTGTTAGCAATATACCCTGTCAGGTCGACATCCACCTGGTCCACTCTGGAAACCTTCGTGCTGAATTCCAGGTGTATTCATTACGATGGGCTAATTGATCTGCCTTTTCGGGAGGAAAGGATTTTGTTAGCGATGAGGTCTAACAGTCCCATTGCTAGCAACGTTACCAATCAGGTCGACCTCCACGTAGTTTCCCCTGGATACCATCGAGGTTACTTTTCGTGAAATTCTTCACGATGGGCTAACTGACCTGTCTTTTCATCCTCACCTATCATCCCTCACTGGTGCTCCGCCAGTGTATACTGATAGCGCCGGCGGGGTTACCATTCCATTATTATCCATTAAAAAAAAACAAATCTTTTAATCACCATCAATCTTCTTAAAAATAAATTTTAAATGTTCCATTTTGTACTATTTTCTGTGGAACTGAAAGATTGTAACTACTACTTGGAAAAAGTGATGAGAATTCGGAAACGGCGTGTTTTTAAGAGACGAATTATGAAAGTGGATGCTAATATTTAAAATATTGGACTCTGTTTATACAGAGTAGTGTTTCTTTATGGAAAATTTGACTTACCAGCACAGTGATCTGACACGGACTAGTTGCAGTCGGAGGTCATTCTCAAATAAATATCGTCACGGGTAGCTGCGAGATAAGGGGAATTAGCTTTTTCGAGTAAATACAATTATATAATAATAGGTGATGATATCAATTGGTTGTATTATCATTGTTTATATTATCAAGTAGAAAGCGTTTAAATCACACTTATCAATCAGTGGAGTTTATACATAAATATCTATTTTTATAATACAGGGGGCAAAAGAGCATACTGCTCACCTGATGCTAAGTGACTATCGCCGCCCATGATCACTCGCATTGCATCGCACTAAAGGCATTGCAGGTGTTCTGCCGGCCTTTTAAAAAGGAATATGCTCTTTTTTTTAAAGGTTATGATATCGTATCGGTTCGGAAATACTGCTCTTGGAAGTTGATTCCAAAGAATGGTTGCACGTGGAAGAAAGTCCCCTGAAAAACGCACGGTTGAAGACCACCAGTTATCCAGATGGTTGGGATGAAACTTTAGTTTGTGGCGGTTGTATAACGCTGAAAATCAGTAGCGGGTATCGATCCGAACAATTTCTCAGAGCTCTGTGTTGTAAAACATAAATAGATTTTAATAAAACGATATTACTAAACAGAATATATTTTATTCAATATTTAATAAGTCAATTACTATGTACCACGCGGATATTTGACGCTGATATTAACAGTTTTGCTTGAAGTTTCAATTCAGAATTTACCTGTTCAGTTTTCGTATAAAAATATATAACATCTTGTTGTCCATTGACAAAAGGTACGTTATTTTCTAAAATGAACTTTATTTCAGTAATATTACGGATAGAAATAATTTCATTTTATGCAAGTCTTTTGTATTTATAATATTTTGTATACCAATCGATGTGTTCCTCTTTATAATTTTCTTTCTATAACACCATAATTTGCTTTTAGTTTACTCAACTATTCATTTCTTTATTTTCTTATTCTCCTCCTTTTCTTACATATTTTCTAAGAATTTCTTACAATTTTGGATATTCTTAATAACTTCGTTAGAAAATTAAACTTGAAATTTTTTATCTCTAAATATTTTTTAAGGTCTAGTTTTTGATATTTTTAGTAAGTTTATAATTGTAATTATTATTACTCACCAGCATTTATAAATAGCGCAGGAGGGGCCACCATTCCATTATCATCCATCAAGAAATCTGTTCGTGTTTATAGAATAATATATATAGATATATATTGTATAAATGATAATACAAAGCTTTGTTACATGTTTAAAAATAAAACAAAGTGAGATATGAAATAAAAAACGATGTAAACTTAAAATAAAAAACTAGTGTTAACCGTTCGGCGTCGGGGGAAAGGGATTGTTAGTAGGCAATATACCCAACCAGGTCGACCTCCTCGTGGTTCCCCCTGGAAACTATCATGGTTAATTCCTGATGAATTCATCATGATGGGCTAACTGGCCTGTTTTCATTCTCATCTATCACCCTTCACTGGTGCTCCGCCAGCGTATCCCGTTAGCGCGGGCGGGGTTGTCATACCATTTTCACCATAAAAAAACCGTTCGACTCCCAAACTGTGAATAACACTAGGTTAACACTAAACTGATATGGAATACTGTAAAATTACACCTAGTTCAGTAAAAAATTTAAAATTGTTTAAAACTGGTGTATGTTTTATCTCGATGTTTTATCCATAAGTAGTCCATTTTATTTGTTCTCTTATTTTCAAAATTTGAATGAAAGAACAAAATCGTGGTTTCAAAATCAAATGAAACAACAAAATGTGTTTTAAAGTTACACAAACCCGGCTTAGCACCCGTGCTAAGTCGGGGCGGGTCGCTAGTAAATAAATAAAAAGCCAAAAAACTTAAAAAAGTGAATTTTATTTATTAACTAGCTTTTGCCCGCGACTCACCCACCTCCATCGCCCACCCGCGAATACACGTGAAGTTTGCAAAGTGGATAATAAAACACAAAATCGTGGTTTTGTTGTTAGTTAAAAATAATATTTAAATAAATAAATCAAATTGGACACATTAAATCGCGCCATCTAGTTTCAAACTATAACCCAAAGCAAAACAAACACACATACACGTGAATTCAAATGTATGTAATGTACAGGAATTGAAACTGCGACCACTGGCAGATCACCGCGACTTCATACACGTGGAGTTTGCAAGTGGGAAATAAAACGCCACTAAATTTATTTATATTTTTTTTCTTTTTTATTTCACAGGTTTACTTTAAATTTATTTTTTCTTTAATCTTAATAATCACAAACATTAGTTTTGTATCCTTATTAATATATGGAAACAGATGCCGAAAAGTTCTGTTACATGGCCGTTATTATGTTAAATGTCTGTTTAAAGCAAATATATATTTGGTTTCATCACACTATGTCAGATCTGGGAATATAAAGTATCTTATGTGTATAATCTATAGAAGAAATGATAAAATAAATACTGTAAATCATATGATTGCTTCTTTTTTTCTTATGTTAATATTATTATCAAAAAGAGGACGTGAGATATACTATGAAAAAAAAAATGAAAAAAATATTTATTTAGTAACAAAATTGATACAATTTTTTCAGGATAAATTCACAATGTTTTTTAAAGCAAGTGTATGTTTCTAAGAGCAAGGAATTACACAGAAGGAATGATGAAATAAAAACTGTAAATCATATGGGTGCCTCCTTTCTTCTTATGCAAATATAAATAGTAAAATGAGGACGAAAGATAAACCATCAGTTGCTATTTTTCTCAATTCATAGCAGGCTAGTGTATAGAAAATGTTTGATATGTCAATTATTTGTCAATGACAAATTTTACATTACTAGATTATATATTCGACACAGTTTATACAAAAAGTATGCAAGCAGTTTGTATCTGAATTTGGTAGGGTTATACGGCCGTATAACATATATTTTCTGTACACTAGCCTGCTATGAATTGACAATTTTATCACTCCTTCTATGTAATTCCTTGTTAAATAATAGGATTCACGATTTAAATTTAATGGTTTATGGTATTTTTATGGCATTAGTTAGTTCTTAGGGATGGTAACGCATGAGGGGTATCATGGGCGAAACAGTATACTCTGTTATGTCCATGGTATTGCTCATGTCTATGTCTTGTCAGGCGACGGTTCCCATTTTCCATCAGGTGGGCCGTCAGCTTGTTGCCATTCTAAGTTGTATAAAAAAAAAAAAAACATAACTAAGTCACTATTAAATGAATTTGAATAAAATTGGGTATGGGTCCTAACTCAGGAAAGACATTGATTCACATGGGTGAAGCTGCGGATTACAACTAGTTAGGAAACAAATTGAATGAAAATCATAAATTATTTATTTTAATTGAAACAAAACAATTATTTTGGATGTCTCATGTTTATTAATAACAGAGAAAACATCATCATCATCATCGTCAGTGATTTATGGGTGCAAACCACTTCTGGAGCGTGTGGCTATAGATTGAATAGAACTTGCTTTATCCTTAAGGAAATTTACCTCCACAAAGTCTTTAATTTCTCCTACAATTATCGCCAATAGGTTTACCTCGTATATATGCTTCTTGTAGGCGAAATAATCAATTAGTGCAGCCTCCATGCCGTATGCAGTGGGCTTTACTTTCAACTGGAATTCGGAGAGCTGACTTGTTCCGTTTGCGTTCAAATAATAAACCTTGTCATCAGAGACAAACGGTACACAATCTTCCATAACGAATGGAGGTTTGATTAATGTGACCGATGTAGGATTCTCTGGTAGACCTACGAATTTCTTGACTCCCTCTGCATTTATCACGTAAGGCTGCTTATCTTCGCCATAGTAATAAATATTATCAGAATAATCCAACACTAATTGTTGTGCGTTCTTTATTTCCTCAACTTTGGTCTTCTTAGTACCTTCATCTGTCACTTTATAAACTTCATGTTTATCCGTAACTATGTATAATACATTACTTGAGTTTTCTTTTTCAATATCAATGATATTGTCTGTGAGAGTTCCGTACTTATCTGCCTTGTTTTCTTTATAATTATAAACATAAAGTCCATCAGAAGCGGCGAGGTAGACTGTTTTAGAATCATCGTTGACTGCTACGGCATCTCTACCGTTTTCTAGAAGTTTCGTTCCTTTTCCGTTTCTAAGGACGTACAGGCCTTTGTAATCCTTGTTGCCTTTGTCATCTAATTCTGCTTCTACAAAGAATATGACACCTGTGCCATCATCACTTTCCGGTGAAGAGTCATCAGAATCTTTTGCGAAGTTTAGAGCATTGAGTGGTACGACTAATTGGACAATGTCATATGCGCCTGTGTATTTGATTAAGCTGTCAGGGAAGAAGTCTTCTGTGATGATAGTTAATTCATCTTCATTGCTGCTCGGGGCCCCGATGGCGGTGGTCGCCGATGACAAAAGTAGCGTCACAGTGATAGTTGTTAAAATAATCATTTTCGTAACTGAAATAAAGAGAATTAAGTTGAAATTAAACATTGTTGATTTGAATTGAATTTTATTGAATGGACTTATAAATGGAACAAAAAATTGTTGCATTGTAGGTCTCTTTTATTTCTCCAGTAAGTACAGTTTTACGTTACTCGCTGCATTCATTGACTTCCTACAATGATCAAAAATAGGTTTGGAACGACGACAATTAAACAAATACTTTTATGAAGTTCTTCTGTATGTACAAATATAAAAATTATAAAGACACACAAAGTTTTATTGGTTTCAATTCAAATTTAGTTACAATTATTTGAGAATGAGGAGTGTTCAATGCGAACTAATTAAACATGTGGCAACTACTGGCAAATTGTCTCTTATGAGGGAGGCTATATTTAGCAGTGGACAGTTAACGGCTGACACTAATTAGTATAAAATTGGTAAAACAACACAGTACAGTACAGTTTATTAATAAATGTATGCATTTCGTTATGTGTTATTAACTAAAAATGTATGTTTATCTGCACGTTTATCTCTGCAGCTCGACCCGTGCGACCTGTAATAATGTTTTGAATTTATCCAATACCTACAATATTATCATATTTACGGACAACAATTTTGTCATCAATTTCGTTAAATATAGCATTAAATGTATATATTTAATTAATTAGTGAAATAACAG